GCACCCAAGTCTGATTTAACACTGTCAGCTTGAAGTTTCATAGTAGGATCAGGGTCCTCAAAGCACTCTGAAGACAAACTTTTTTTTTTTCTGTAGTGCATCCTTTGAATTGCAGGCTGGGGTAGAACATTTCATATAATGGAAAATTCCCCTATCAAAAAAGAGACTGTCGTCCTTGACATGCTCAACTGACATATTAAGGGTATTATGTTTTTTTCCATTGAATATGACAAAACGAAGCTCTTACGTTTTCATGGGAGTCATGGACATATTCAATCATTTCAAACAAATATATCCCAGAGACATAAAGGACTCTATTATGCAGTAATAACATTATAAGTGAAAAATATGACACCATCATGCTTCTAATGGTTTGAAGATCATTAGTTTTTATGCGTACTGAAAGAAAAGGCAAAAATATATATCTGATTCTAATCTAACCTCTTAATATTGTGCCTTTCTTTCCATTATCATTCTATTTCCACTCAACTACTGTTTTCCAACTTCCATTATCAATACATTAAAAGGGTGGATTCTATTGAATCATGCTTGACTCCCAGTGATTTTTTGCACATACCCCTCTAGTTTTCTTGGTAACCACACAATATTGGACTAACCACAGCAAATGTTCTATAAGGGAAAAATACCATATGCCACCAGGCTTGAAACTTTGGGCTTAGGTAATTTAGAACTACGCCACCTTCGGTCTGACCTAAACATAGTACACAAAATTATCTGCTATAATGTCCTACCTGTCAATGACTATTTCAGCTTCAACCGCAATAATACACAAGCACACAATAGATACAAACTTAAGATAAACCGCTCCAAACTCGATTGCAGAAAATATGACTTCAGTAACAGAGTGGTCAATGCCTGGAATGCACTACCTGACTCTGTGGTTACATCCCCAAACCCCCATAACTTTAATCGCTTAGACTGTCTACGGTTGACCTCACCCCATTCCTAAGGGGTCTATAAGTGGCATGCATTAGCGCACCAACATGCCTACCATCCCTGTCCTACTGTCCCCATTTATTTGCACCCTTATCCTGTATTCATAATCATGTTTATACTTATATCTGTTATCTCATACATGTTTGACAAACTAAATAAATAAAAACAAAATAAAGAAAGAGAAAGAAAGAATATTTCAAAGCATCATTGACAAAATATCACTGACAGATATTTCTGTATCAGATCCTCCTGGGAAAGATGCTCTGAGTCCTTTAATAGGGAAAAGGAGGTTAAAACAAAGCACAGACTCCACCTTAATGAATTTGCTCCTAAATGAAAACAGGGGGATTGTACAGTCAATTTCCAGGATTCTGGATCCTAGTACCTTATTGCTGGATATTAAACCTAATTGAAGAAACTCTGTGACTCTTGCTTCCCTGACTGTGTTTTGCTGCAAAGAGATTGACACCTCCTTAGTTTCTGAAAATCAGACAAGTGTTGCTACTTATCTGGGCATCAATAAATAAAGATCACATCAGAAGCTGTCCATTCACATTATTCAACCACCTTCCATCTTTCAACATGCAGGATTCTGTCCTCCAAATAAGAAAAGCAGCAAACAGGTTTTTAGCACCAATGGTGCACTGCGGGTGTACAAAAAGTTGTTTCTAGTGGTTCTGAGGACACATACAGGGAGGAAACAAAATCAAATAAATGGATGGTAAACAAGTGAAGACTTTAAGATGAAGCTTGGAGGAAAAACAGTGCTGGAAAGAAGAGGAGATAATAAGGTAAAGGGGCACCAAAGGTGGGAGATTTGTTAAACTGGTTTCCAGAATATTTAGTTCCAAAAATATAATACTCAGAACTATACTCCTTGTGTATTTGGTTCTAGTGATAACCAAGTTAAGATGCATTACTCATAACTGATGTCATTTTGCAGAGCTGGAAGAAGAAAAACTGGCTCTTTGCTTGGTCACCCAAAGCTTATTAAATCCACATCGTGCCTGGTGTCTGGCTGGAGCTACTTCAAGCAGTTTCTAAGATCAAGTCTGGCAAACAGGAAAGACGGGTCACAGGGAAAACTGAGTGCAAGTATTTTTTTAAAAATTGACAAATGATGCCAAGCCCATCCTAAATAAATAAGGCTTCCTTCAACCTCCTGATCCAGCAGGTTGGGAAGGTATATTTTAGCTATTGTACACAACCTTTAACCAACACTGGATAAGGGGAGGTTTCAATATAAAGCAGTGCAAAGAAGTTATTATTGGTGACTATTCTTGTGACTACTGCCATTGGTTTCTGTTGCCAGAGGGAAAGAGGCTGTTTATTCATGGGGGAAGTAGTACTGCTGAGAGTGGGCAGTGGGAGGAAAAAGACAGAAAACATTTCCTTGGATCTCATATACTGTAACTTTTGTTTGCCTGTGGCAAAGACAGAGATCTCTTGTCTGCTTTTCTTTTCAATAGCTAGCTTGTCTGTTTTAGAGGATGTGGATGCCAAATAGATTTTTCAAGGCTTCTGTGGGTGGGAAAAGGTGCACCTGAATGTGCTATGGAAGTGCAATTAGAATTCTAAATGCAGAAGACTTGCATGTCCATTTATCAAGCGTTTACATGATTACATTGAAACAGGGATATATATGTTTATACTGCATATGTACACACATAAATATGCCTATGTGAAGTCTGGGCACGAACATAAACATCTACAATGCAAACCAGGCATCCTGGACATTTCTCCCATTTCTAGCTTATTATTAGAGGAAAACCATTTCTGATTAGAACTGAATCTCTGACGCCTGTGAATTGCACCAGGAGATTAATTGCTAATTAAGAAATGCATGACTGAATGAAACGCATGGCTGTACATTTGAAACCAGAGGTTTTTTTCTTAGGTTTCATGGACAAATGGGGGAGGGGGGGAAGGAATTTTGTTCTTAAAAATGTTAACAGCAGCAAGACTTCTTTATGTGCAGAAATGGAAGGACTTGCAAATACCAACAATGGAAGAATGGATGGTGAAGTTAATGGCTGCTTTGACTGTTTTGATTAAAGAAAAGACTATCTAGCTTCATTTCTACTTGGAAACCACTTTTGGTCTTTTTGCTTAAACTGAAATAAATGAAATTTTAACCTTGGGATTTGATGATTAGAATTCTTTGACTACAGAGGTGCTGTGTGCTATGGTATACTTTGGCTTAAAGGGTAATTGCAATTTCTAGCTCTTTCTTCTGTGTCACAATAGATACGATGAATTAACTTCCTCATTCATTTATTCTGCTTGTCTCTCCTGCATGTAGTTTTATCATGCCCTTTATTTGAAGAACTGTTCTTCAAAAAGAAGGGCAAGACTAAACTCTACATAATGAGCGACACAACTGCTGGCCTCAGGTTGAAAAAGGTATGCTGGTTATCTTTAGGGCTCGCTACATTTGCAGGCAAGAATCTGGAAAACTTCATTAAATGCTTGGCTGCTGTATTTAGCCTTTATAATAGGGTTGTTTAAATAGTCTCTTTATAATAAAATACTTTATGCCTCCTCCTAGATCAAACTTTAAAATGCCAGAATGAAGCCACCTTCTTGGCCATTAGCCAAAAATAATAATCATCATCAGTACATGTTTCTGGGCCAGGCTCTATATCTCTCCAAATTCACATAGTGATTGTTATCCACTAAGAGCCTCCACATATTGGTTTTACGTTTAGGCACTCCAATTCTCAACTCTCATACTCAGAGTCCTCCAAGTAGTATAAGGGTGGTCAGATCCTTCAGCCATATCCTCCTTTAATGTTATTCCTTTCCTCAATGATGTCCTTCCTCCATCTTTTAATTCCAATTACCTCCAGAGGTCCGGACCATCCCCACCTTATTGGCCTTCCGAAAAGTGGTGAAGACCTGGTTTTTCCGGCAGGCCTGGGGCCGTTGATCTTGCTCTTGCGATCCAGCGAGATCTGGCCATGAATGGTGTGAATGAGTTTTAATGTTTTTAATTTTTAAATGCTTTTATAATGATTTTAAATACATTGTGAGCTGCCCTGAGTCTTCGGAGAGGGGCAGCATACAAATTGAATGAATGAATGAATGAAATAAATAAATAAATAAATAAATAAATAAATAAATAAATAATCCAATTTCATTCTTGTGTACCCTCAAAAATTTTGTTCTTGCGATAAAGCTGTTCCTAGATTGAGTCAGCGGTCTTGGGGTATATGTCAACTCTGCCATCCATTCTTATAAGTAACTTTGTAAGGGAGTACAGTTTGAAGAATACTATCCTGTTATGAAGCTTTCTTATATTGTACAGGCTTGGCTTGGGGTAGATGGTGATGAGTTTCTAGGCGTAACAGGAGGTGGCAATGAAAATTCAAGTCCAATATAAAATGTTACAGAGGTAATCTTGTCAAAGTTCATATATTCTCTCTGATTCTCATACACAAGGGAGCTCTGTATCCCTTGGGGATTGGTTCCAGACCTGATTTATCTCATTGTCTATTTGGGAGAAAGGAATCAATTTATTTCTCTACTAGAGTTTATTTGAAACATAGCAGAGCTGGTCTTTTCTTTTGCGTTAGTTCTGCAGACTATATGTATGTTTATACATGAAGTCTTGCTTCTGCCCCTCTCTTGGATTCAAGCCAGTCATTACCCCCCCACTGTCCCAGATATGTTCAGCAACCTGTTATAGCTTACCTAGTTCTACATTTATCATCAGGAGCTTACTTTTTCCCATTCCACCAACTAGCCATCTGAGCAACATGCAATTATTTTCATAATTACTGGGGAAAGCACTCCATTGTAAAATTGCTGGCATGCTAGCAATTCCTCTTTACAACTAACACGAACACTTAAATGCAACTGAGAATGGCAGCAAAATAGCTGCAGAGTCTTTGGAGGATGTTTTTGTTTACACTTTTATAATCAATCTTCTAACATGAAGTTTCCTATTATAACAACCTCTCAGGGTTTGGTTTTGTGGGGTTTTTTTTTGCAAACTACCAGACAAATTTATATTTATGTGAAAAACATGGAGTTAGGACAGGTTAGTTAGACATTTGTTTTATTTCTTTTGAGTGCAGATGTATTGTTGTTATTCTACAAGAGGGAGAGAGGGCATCAACTGGATGATGTTGCTTCTTCTAACGGTTCCATTCTTCTATAGCTCATCTGAATGGAAAGTAGGTGTGCATTGATGGATGAAGATGTTCTTTGTGAGCTCTCAGTGTTTTCAGATCAATATAAGCGACTGCAGCTTGATCAGTTTTTACACCTGAAAGAAAGGCATCTAATGAATCTTAGTACAAAGGATAATCCTTTTCAAATTCAACTCAACAAATGTGTCCTCCCAATGCAACCACACATGGAAAATATTTCATCAATGCTTTTGAAATCTCTTCCAGGTCTTGATGCCGTTTGAAAATCTCCACTGAAGGAGAACCTAATGGGACAACTTTTTCCACTACTTGACAGTTTGTGTAGCTTCGAGTCAGTTTTTGACTCCTGGTGACTGCCTGGATTAGTCTCAGCAGTTTTCTTTGGCATTTTTTGGTGGGAGGAGTGGTTTGCCATTGCCACTTTCCCAGGATTGAGAGTGGGGGACTGGCCCAAGCTGGCTGCATGTCTAAGATGGGACTAGAACTCACTCTCTCCCAGTCTCTAGCCTGGTGCCTTAAACACTATATCACATTTTGTGTTACTATTCAAATGCTCACAAACATGCTGTTTAATAATCTGTTTGAGGATCTTTAATTGTTTATTAGATTTATATGCTGCCCATCTCTCCAATAGGGTAATTCCTGCCTGGTATAGATGCCAAACTGACAGGTCTGTAATTTCCTGGTTTCTCTGCCTTTCCTTTTTTTTATATATATAATTGGGATGACATTTTCTCTCCTTTAATCTTCTGAGATATTGCCAATTCTCCAAGAGCTCTCAAATATTAAATAACTTAGAGTACTTTGGTACTCTAAGGTGCAATTCATCCGGCCCTGGAGCCCTCATTTAAATCATCAAAGTTGCCCTTACCTGATCTATCTTGAACTCCAGTTCCCTCTTCTAATGGTGGTACAGTGAGGGCCAGCTAAGGATTTTACTTTCCTTTCTGAGAGAAGAGAAACATAAATTATGAGTCAACACATTCTGCCTTTTCCTTATCACCCGTTGACCAATTCACCCTTTCTTTTTGCAAGAGACCTACATTCTCTTGCTTTCCCTTTGTTTCTGGAATCCCTGAAAAAGCCTCTCCCCCCCCCCTTCCTTTGGGCGTTTCTTGGAAGCCTCAGTACTTTAACTTTTTCTTTGCCAGTGGCATCTTCTATGTACACTTTTCTTCGCTTTCAGGATCCTGTTCTCTTTTCTTGCAACATGGCCCTCAGCAAGAAGGACTGATGAAAGTATTCAAGTTTTTTTTAACAGTAACAGAGTTGGAAGGCGGTCATCTAGTCCAACCCCCTGCTCACGCAGGAGACCTTCCAATTTGAACCTAGGGATTTGAACTGCCGAACTGCCAACCTTTCTGATCAACAAGCTCAGTGTTTTAGCCACTGCGCCAAGTTCTTTCACCTTTCTTCCCAAGTCCTCATAGTTTCTTCCAGTATCATTTGTCCCACCTGAATCAGGACGAAGGAATGGTTATTGGAAGGTTTGAAGAGTCTTGACAGTCTATCCTGCATATGAGTTCCTGGAAGATAACCCACTTCCCTTGATGTCATATTGAATCTATACACTGAAAGAACTATTCCTCCACCACAACCAGCTTCTGCTTCCTCAAAAGGGTTCTTGTGCTCCTTTTCATTCAAGGATGCTTTGGTATCTTCTAGTCCATTCCATGAAGCTGGTGTTCATAAGGCTTTGCTCAGATGGCTTAATATTATCTTCTAGAAAGAGAGTTTGAGTTCCATAAGCAGCGTCTCATCCACTTGCTTCCACTTATCTTTCTCTTTGTGTTATCTGGACTTCACTTCTCTGTCCCTCCTGAGAGGCTTCAGTTATCCTGTTCAGGAACAACTTACCTTCCCTGATGTTTTACACTGTAGAAACATTCTCCTTGAGCCCTTTTGATTCTACTACTTTCACCTTCTCTTCCTGAAAGACAATCCACCTATATGTGCCCTCCTCTGGGAAGAAGAAAAGCATGGTATATCCAACGTAGATGATGGGAGGACTTTCCTGTGTTCTCAGTTTTATGAACAAAAGATTTCAAACTCTTGTTGGATCTCCCTATTCATTCACTCATGCTGTTTAGTCTTTTATTTCAACAGCATTAATTTTTCATAAAAGTCTACAAAAAATATTATTGCTTGGTAGAAAGTCTGAAGGTATCATTAAGCATGGCCTTAAAGGGTGATGACTGTGCTCCTACACCAGCTAGGGATGGGAAGAGCCACAGGTTGCCTTAGATATTTAATTTAATGTTACTGTTCTTATCAAGCACTAACCAAAAGAGCAGAATCTAAGAGCACCACAGAGCCATCTGATCCACTGCTTAAAATCAAACTGCCACCAAACAGCCTGAGTCAAAGTAATGTCCTAAACAATACTACTAACGTCTACCTTTCTTACTCAAAAGATGTGAAAACACCAACTGTCTCCAATTTGAAAGGAAATTCAGAGGGAACATCTCTCCAGGAATAAGTAATCAAAGAAGAACAATTTAGATGTCTTGTTGCAAAGCACCCCTGATGCTTGCCCAAATCGTTTTATTGTACAATCATGAGGAATTACTTGCCAGCAAAATGGGTAGTTTGCACTGCTGTTTATATTTGCAACTTTAATTGCCCTAATATCGATTTTTTTGTAAAATGGGATACGGGTAGAGATTACAATCACAGGAAAGGGGGTAGATGTGGACATCATGCAACATTGTGTCTTGACCTCCTGGGTTTAATTTAGTGTTCTCTCGTGCGCAAAGTGGACACAGCCTCAGTGGCACCCCTCAACTCCATATGCATTATTGCAGGCCCCTCATCCTTGTGTATCCAAACACCTGGCCACAATATCAGCCAAGCACAGATGCGAAGACAACTATCCCTTACATTCCCAATGCCAGCTCTCAAAAAGCCTGTGCCAAATCCAATCTTGAAAGTTTTCCCCGTAATTTTGAATGGTTTCCCACATGGCACCTGCTGTCACCTTATTCTTTTTACAGACCCTGCATCCTCTACACATCACTCACACACATCCTTCACACACCACTCACTGGTGTTTTTCAAGAAACAAGCAGATAACAGTATTGTGTCCACAATGCCTTTTCTAACCCTTTAGATAAAGTATACCTTGTTCACTTTTTACACATACAGGGAGCAAAGTGAATCAATCCATTCTGCCCACATGTGCTGGGTGAATGGGAATACCTACTGAAGGCCCCCTCCTCTCAAGAGGTATGAAGGGAGACAGAGGCCTGTGTTCTCAGTGCCTTACTCTCTTCCTTCGAGTCAGCTAACCTGAGGAAAAATATCCCCCTCTTATAGCCTTTTAGATTTATGAGGGTGGATTTTCTGGAAGGCCTTTGGTGATTAAGCGGCTAGAAGAAAATCTGGGTCATTATTTTCTGTTTGTGCTTAAAAGTATGTTTTTATTGTATTTAACACTGTGTTTGATTTGAAACATTGCCTTGAATCTCTGGCATGAGGGGGTTGATAGATTTCATAAACGAATCAATAATTATCCATTCCAAAGATGAACCATCGCATTAAACCATCATGTGATTGATTGGTGTTAGTTTAGCATGATTTATGAATCCAACAAATGTGGGTTATACAATAGCCTTTGGTGCCTAGCATTATGAACTAATCAACGTGGCCAACTCAAGAATTCTACCCATGTGCTGCATATGAACCCAATCTGCATCTCTCTTGGAGACTATCCTGGGACAAGGGGACAGAAAACGCATGAAATCATTCCTGTTTGCCATTGCTCTTCTCAAGCACCCCTTTAATTTAATTTAATTTAATTTAATTTAATATTTAAATTTATATACTGCCCTTCTCCCAAAGGACTCAGGGCGGTGAACAGCCAGAAGTAAAAAACATCAAATACAAAATTTAAAAACAATTTAAAAATAAATTAAACATTTTGGCCCGACAGTTAAAATCCCCCATTAAAAATCCAAATTAAAATACACAATTGGAGAGATTAGGCCAGCCCGACTTGATGAAATAAAAAGGTTTTGAGGGCCCGACGGAAAGTACGTAAGTCCAGAATAGTCCGGGGGGAGCTCGTTCCAGAGGGCAGGTGCTCCCACAGAGAAAGCTCTCCCCCAGGGGCCGCCAGTCAGCATTGTTTGGCTGACGGCACCCGGAGGAGCCCCTCTCTGTGGGAGCGTACTGGCCGGTGGGAGGCTCTCGGTGGCAGAAGGCAGTCCCGTAATGACACATGCTTGGAGAATCCACTATGTTATTTACGGGGAAACAGAATTTAGATAGCTGAAATAGAGTTAGGAGAATTTATGTAGCTCTACTTATATTCTGAAGTTGATGCTACTTTATTTCACCCAGTAAACTCTGTAGCAATTAGCTTGTCCAGAAAAACAAAAAACCCAAATAGCTATGCTGAAGCCTGATGGCTACATATAGAATACCCATAATGCATTGGTGACTTAACATCCTATGGCTTAAGGCAGTGGTGGGATTCAGCCAGTTTGCACCACTTCAGGAGAACCGGTTGTTAACTTTTTGAGCAGTTTGGCAAACTGGTTGTTGGAAGAAATTATTAGGGCAGAGAACCAGTTGTTAGATTACTTGAATCCCACCACTGGCTTAAGGTAAAAGTAAAGGTTCCCCTGCACATGCATGCTAGTTGTTTCCGGCTTTAGGGTATGGGTGCTCATCTCTGTTTCTAAGCCGAAGAGCCAGCGCTGTCCGAAGACATCTCCGTGGTTATGTGGCCGGTATGACTAAACGCTGAAGTTGCAAGGAATGCTGTTACCTTCCCACCAAAGTGGTCCCTATTTTTCTACTTGCATTTTTTACGTGGTTTGGAACTGCTAGGTTGGCAGAAGCTGGGACAAGTACCGGGAGCTCACGCCGTTACGCGGCACTTAGGGATTCGAACCGATCCTATGGCTTAAAGTTAGGCAAAAACAGCTATGAAGCTATTGATGTTCTGTATTATATATGCCCAGCATTACTGGCTAGATCATTAACAGATGGAATTATACCTAGTCATTTCTAATTCTGTTATATGACTAAAAGTCTAACATTTGAATTCTACAATTCTTCCAACTCGGATTTGTTGATTACATGCTTTTATCTAAGGAACAGTAATAAATCTTAATCTGTATTTTATTGATCATTGAAAGGAATCTAGGGAGCTATGTAAAATCCAAAGGTAATTACCTACTTTGTATCTGCTAAAGAAAATCTAGCTTCTCTCTGATCATCATCATGTTTCATACAAATTTATGGCAGGGACAGCAGCAATATTGTAAGGCTTAAAGGTGGCACTGGGAACACTTAGATTAAAACCACACAGATAACAGCTTTAGATGCAGGACATCCATTGAGGCAGAGCTTCCTAGGACAGGAATGCTGAAAAGGTCCATAAGTAACATTTGCCACCTAGCACAGGGCAAAAGATGCAGAGGGAAAGACACTGAAATTAAATCCAGGAGGATGTAAAATGGGTGCAGCAGCCTTAAAGGCTAGACAGCAACTATCTTCAGTTCTGATGATACAATAAAGGTTGTATCATTGTCACTGCCTCATTGGCACTGGAGCCAGCCAAAGGGAGTCCAACGTTAAAGTAGCCTCACCAACTTGGCATCCTCTACATTAGGAGTCACCAAAATTTTTAGCCAGCAATTATAACATATTGGAAGGGCATCAGGCTGACAAGAGCCATATTAGATACCCAAAAATAAATTTATTGACTAAATTAGGCAAGTAAGGCTAGATTAAATACAGAACTCAAAAATTATTCAAAAGGTAGGTTAGTGGAAATTATATTTTGGATTAACTAGGTATTTCTAAAGCATGCTGATAAGAAACAATTTCAATATACTAGAAAAGGGATCTCCAAACTTGGCAGCTGGCTGAAGAATTCTGGGAGTTGAAGTCCACAAGTCTTAAAAGTTTGGAGACACCTGTACTAGAAAAACATCAAGCTGGAAAGGCCTTATTGAAGCAATAAAGAAACTTGGTTACATCAGAACAAAGTGGCTCAGCCTTCAGACCTGGATTCCATGGATAATAAGTTCTGGGTACAGCTCACTCAACTTCTCTAAAGCTTGAAATTAAAATTGCAAATTTAAAAATGCCTGGAAGGAAGTAATACATGGGATGGAATCATACCAAATTTAATTAAAAAGTTATATTATAATAAATATATGAAATTATAATAATCAAATTTAGTCTTTCTCCTGATATCATTTACTTCTTTTAAATAGGTTCTTCCTGCCTCTATCTCCAATTTATGGTCAATTATGACTCCTGGCCACCAGAATATTACACACCTGTTCCGAGCTATATTATGTATTCATGATGAATTGAAGGTTTAATTAATATGTAACTCATTAGTTTCTAACCAAACTTTTTCCTGGCTCACTTCAATGTGTCCCATAGAATTAAATTTTTATAAAGTAACAACAGGATGTACCAAGTATCAAAATATACAATTTCTCTGCAAAACACACAACTATGAGATGCAAAGACAGAAGAATGGCTTTGATGGTGCAGTTCCTAATGGCCTAATTAGGCAATCAGAGTTATGAAGAATCACTGAATTATGAAGAATATATTTTCTTGGAAGACCTTTGAATAATACAACAGACAACCCAAGAACAAAAGCAATGTTGAAGTACAACCTGAACAAAGATTTCTCTGACAAAAGAAATCAAGGATAAAATGTGTAGGACAGTTCTGTTTCTAATATATTACTTTTTAAATGTCACAACTAAAAGGTTATATAACTAAATGGAATGTTATTTTAAAAAAACCAAAACAAAATAAAATGCCTAGTGCTTACGAAAAGTGCAGGGAATTTTCTAGCTTTTGGAATATTTAATTAAAACAGCTTGTTCTATCAGCTCAAACTCCCAACAGAAAAGAAGCATGTTAGATTGTTTGGGTGTTTGTAGGATACTAAGAATGACAATTTTCTTTCCCCAATAATTACTGATGAATTTGGGGGGTGGGGGGGGTGAAGCTGTCTTCTTACTTACTCCCAGATAAGAATAGAAGGCATTTTGAAAAGAAATAAACAGGTTGGAGCAAATAACTTTGGATACAACTGCTACAAACTATGGATGAACCTGGAGAATAACCATAGCTTGCTAAGCCTTTCTTTCATAATCTTTTTTATAATTTCTAACATCCCTCTTCTTTCTTCCTTCACTTTATCTCCATTCCAGTTTTGTGCCCTCTTTCTCTTGTTTTCCCAGAGCAGGTGCCCCTCAATGTATCTCCATATTTTTTTTTCTTACTTCCTGCAGTTTACTAGAAAGAGACGGGAGGGTGTGCCTATGTGTGTATGGGCACACATGTATTAGCATACTTCTGCATTTGAGAGTAGCTTGTCTGATGGGAATGCAGGTATGTGCAGTTGGGGGATTGAGAGTTTTTTTAAAAAGTGGGTGCATTCAGAAAATTGACTTCTGCATTGTTTGAATTGGTGTTTAATATTCTTCCTGTTTTCTTCTCTCTCACATACCAACTTTGCCTTTTTTGAAATGTGGGTTCTAACACATACATAACACATACGTATGTATATACATAGCTGTATGTATTTTTTACTCTAAAGCTACACATGTAAGTGTGTTACATGTGTACTTTTGGGAAAGAGAAATCTCATTATATAATTACTCTAGCTCAAGGGTGTCAAACTCGATTTCATTGAGGGCCACATCAGGGTTGTGTTTGACCTTGGAGGGCCGGCGTGTGTGTGGCCAGGGTTGGGCGTGGTCATGGTAGGTGTGGCCATAGTGGGTGTTTGACACAGGCTCAAAATGCATTTTTTTGCGTTCTTTACACAGATCTTTACTATAACCATTTTCCTATCTCTTCTACCAGATATTAATGGCAAACATTTATTACTTATTCTTCACATTCCACTGAACTTTTTATTTCTAAATGTATACCATATTGTTTAATAGTAAATTGCTTTTCTGGGCAGAAAAGCTATTTATACTATTGTATTTTTATTATTCAAGTAATAATAAAAATACAATAGCATAAATAACATGATAATACAAGATCTAATAGCAGAGATAAATTTCCAGGATAGTAAATAGAAATGGCTGTCAATTATAGATTGTTGATTATAGATTAAATGGACCTACAGTATGTAAAATCTGGCATTAAACTGTAGTATTAACATAGGATGTTGCTTGTTTTCTATCCAGATCAGGCACTTACTTGTGGCCACATAATTATAATCCAGTCCAATCCAGTCCTCCTGCAGCACCTCCGCGTGGCCCATTTTCAGCCTCTCTGGCCTCCAGCAGCACTCTGCTGGTCAAAAACGTGTATTTGTTTTGCCCAGCAGAGTTTTGCCACTTAAGAGGTTGTAGAAAAAATGCTTTTAAAAGTTTTTTTTTTTTTTTAAAGCCTCTGATGAGGTGGGCGGGGTAAGCAAGTGGCAACCAGGCTGGGGACCGGTTCAGGGGCGTGGCCAGCCAATGTTATTACTGGTTCTCCAAGCTACTACTAATTTTTACTACCGGTTCTTGTGAACCGGTGCGAACCGGGAGCAACCCACCACTGCTGTGGTGGCTGGTAATAGTTCTGATGGCTTTTTGCAAGTGTTGATGAAATCCTGAAACATTAATGCTCATGAATTCGTGATAGGAGGGGACAAAAAAAATGGGAAGACCTAAAACTGTTTTAGAGTTCACATTGAAGTTTATTTGTTAGCAAAAGGTGAAAACACTGTCAGCCAGCAATGTGCTATGGTTTGCCAGCTTTGTTGGTGCTAAACATTTCATCAATACAAGCAATCACAGGTCAAATTGACAAAATGCACTCAGCTGTCAGTTTGAAACAGCAAATCCCCTCCCTTAGGAGGCAGAGGGAGAGAGGAAAACATCACAAGGGGTTCAGATAAGGGGAATTCTGAAGGCCCAATGATCCTTGCAGGTGCAAAGTCTCTTCTTTGTTCCTAAGGCTTGCAGAACCTGCTACCTTCCTACACTAATCCCATCTTCATATCCACTGTTTCAATTTGCATGGGATTTTACATGAAGGCAAAACTTTGTATCCTTTTTCTTTTTTAAAGCACTGGCCATTTTAAGCCTACAATTCAATTATCTTCCATAAATTGTGTTATCTTTCTTCTGCAGTTCTTGCTAATTTCTGCACTATAAAGCCCACTCACAAGAAAAATATGTATTACTCCACTGACACACTGCTGATTTATATTATGAATATACAGTTACTTTCTATGATGAAATACACTTATCATTTTCCATTTCCCCAAAGCAAGAAGCAGCATTCCTTTCTAGCTTTTATTTAACCAGAAAAATTAGCTGCATATGTACTTTTTAAAAATCAAACTCCAAAATTACTGGCTGGATGACAATCTATGAAGATTGTAAACCAACTACCAAGAGCCTTGGTAGTACAGTGGTTTAATGCACCCTGTAATTAACATCAGCTGCCTGCAATTACTGCAGGTTCGAATCTCCCCAGGCTCAAGGTTGACTCAGCCTTCCATCCTTTCTACGGTAGGTAAATTGAGGACCCAGTTTGTGGGGGCAATAAACTGACTTTGTATAAAAATATACAAAAGTATGAAGGCTATTGCTTAACGCATTGTAAGCCGCCCTGAGTCTCCAGAGAAGGGCGGCATATAAATCAAATTTAAAAAAAAAACAAAAAAAACCTAGAGGTAGTTCTTGACTTGCAACCATTCATTTAACAACTATTCGAAGTTACAATGGCACAGAAAAAGGTCCTGATCCCCACGCTTATGACTGTTGCAGCATCCACATGGTGTGATCAGAATTTGGGCATTTGGCAATTGGGATGTGGCAATGATAGTTGCAGCAACATGTTGTCATGTTGATGCACATGACAACAGGTCATGTGTATGCTATTTGTAACGTTTCCAGCAGGCTTCCAACAAGCAAAGTCAATGGGGGAAGCTAGTTTCGCTTAATGACTACAGTTTTTAAAAGCAGGCACAACTCACTTAGCAACAGAAATTTTGGCCCTAAATGTGGTTGTAAATCAGTGATAACCTGTACTTAAAATACCAGAAAGTAGGGCTGGATTGTTGTGGATTTAATAAGACAAACACAACTTTTGGATTAATCAGAGACAAATTATATATTGCGCAATAGGTTCAAAGCTCTGTACATGAAGTGTTGAACAAAGACAGAAATTAGGTACAATGGTCTTATACCCTTCTAGACAAAGGATTCTGTTAACTCAGCAATTCATATGGTCATATACATTTGTCATTTTTAATTGACATTTCCTAATTACTGAGTTTCTTTGCAAAACAGTTATAATTCTTTTTGTAGATTACTGAAGCATAGACTCAAATCATCTTCTGACGATAGACAACTTTTAACTCATGTGGATCCCCTTGACCTAACCAACCTTTAAGCTGTATGTCATTAGAATGTTCCTTTCTTCTGACAACTTAGAGGCCTCCTAGAGGAACCAAAAGGATTTTGGCTGAGTTTGTACTTTTTCCAACCGGATGCATTGCTTTTTAGAATAGAGTGAATAGAAAGTTATCCAGTGGTCATCTATCAGAGCCCGCTTCATTTACATTAGGATGGAAACAGTCTTTTGGACCATAAGTCTGGATTTGAAAAGATCTCTGCCCCAACCTGTAAGGTAGTGAAACAAAATTTCTACAGCCAAACTGTAAATTCTGAGGGATCTGATCTGCTTAGGTCTTTCTATGAGAGAGAGAAAAAAACATCTCCGTTAAAAAAAAAAAAAGAACAAGTATAGTTATAACATACTCAGAATTTCATGACACGCAAGTGATTACACTATTGACACTGAAGTTTGAATCAGTCAGGGTGCGAATTTGCTTTAATAAATGCTCTACCAGATAAAAGAACTTACGCAATAGGGAGAAAGGATCTGATAGCAGCTTGTGCTTCTGAATGCTTTTACTTAATCTAGCCCTGAGCCTTCACATGGTATTTTGGTGTTTCCAGGATGAGTATTACTAATCACCAACTATTGTGCAGCTCTTCTTCTTTTTCCCTCTGAAAAGATTTTTTAGAAAAGAGAGAGCGTAGCCCAACCCCCACCACAAAATGAAAAACACAATATTATTTTACTTATCAATTCTTCACCTCCAATAAAATTCTGAGTGAGGCAGAGGAACAGCACGATCAGAGTTTTCTGAAAGTTTCCATCCAGATCTTATATAAAAGGCTGTGTTGCTTTGATTTTTAATTCCACAGCTACTTTAATGAAAAGTGCATCAGTATATCAAAGCAAAATAAATCTGCTTGGCATTTTCAGCCAAGAAGCATAGCCTAAGGCTATGAAAAGGAAAATGGAACTAGGAAACATTTTGTTTGATATATTGCATCTCTTAATGAGTAGATCACACTGAACCATTTACAGTGCTTCGCACCTATGCAAGAACAAGTTCTCTGCGCTTTTAGCAAAATTGGCACATGTCTGGTGCTATGGCAGACACCACAAGATGGTGCTGTCTTATAATTAGTTTTATTTCTAATTGATCTTATAATTGGCCTCATAATTATTTTAAATTCAGGAAGGGATTTTTTTTTTTTTTTTTTAAAAGAAGAACCCAAACTGATTTCTAATCTCTTCCAAAACCACAAATCTCTGTGTGCAACCAGAAGTCTCCCTGCTGGAATTTAGCTATAAATACTTTGTTCCCAATAAAGAGCAGCTTTTGTTTTCCGTGGATAATACAGGTAGTCCTTGAATTACAACAATATGTTTAGTGACCATTCAAAGTTACAATGGCACTGAAAAAAGTGGCCTTCAACCGGTCCTCTCACTTTCAAACAATTCGACATCCCCAAGGCCATTTGTGACTTTCCCAGCTGCCTTCTGGCAAGCAATGGGGGGGGGAAGCTGGATTCACTTAATGCAGGGGTGGGCAAATGTGGCCCTTTTACAACCTGTGAACTTCAACTCCCAGAATTCCTGAGACAGCTAAGCCAAGCTGTCTCAGGAATTCTGGGAGTTGAAGTCCACAGGTTGTAAAAGGGCCACATTTGCCCACCCCTGACTTAATGACATGATTCACTTAACCGCAATGATTTGTCTAACAATCATGTCAAAAAAAGTCATAAAATTAGGTGTAACTCAACCACCTTGCTTAACAACAGAAATTCTTGGTCTCAGTTGTGGTTTAAAGTTGAGGACTACCTGCAGCCACATACATCCATTACTACACCCATTCATGAATACAGTTATTACCAACAGAAACACAATGGTGACTCCAGTGGGTACCACTCTCAATTCCTGTAACCCTGTGTTCTCAACTTGGACAGATTAAATTGCATAGACGTCAGTTCCCAGAACTCCCCAGCCAGCATGGCCATTGTTAAAAATCCTGGAAGTTGAAGGCTACACATCTTAATATTGCCCAGGTCAGGAAACCCCGCTATAACCCTAAGCCTGAAGAGCACTACAGTAGGACTGAGGAAGGCAACCTTAATTCTTCCCTTAATTCACAGGCAAATTGTTAACTTTATAGTTTCCAAAAGACATTGCAAGACAAATTCCTTAAAGCCTGTTCAGGATATTATTCTTCATTGGGAATAATATTGGATATACAGGATTGTAAAAAGGGAGGTGTTTTTTTTAATACTAAATGATGTCTTTGAGGGGAGCCAATTAACACTTGTACCCATTGAGCCATTGATTAGAAAAATGTGCAAACACCAGCTCAGATGTACTCCTGAGTCAACATTAGAAAAAGAGATGCAAAAAGTCTTAGGTTAAAATGTATGATGAACCACAGCGGCCCGTATCCTTAGCTAGCACAATCAAAGGAAGGAGATGCTGCAAGTTCTTCTTCAGAAATCCCGAGAGCCCAAGTTTGTCATTCCTTGTTAAAACCAAGCATTAAAGGATGCAGTTCTATGGCCACTGAAATATAGGTGAAATATCATTCTGAGCCTCGGTTTTTAAATAATACACACTGTTCGGGTTCACACTTTATAAGAGTTGACAACATGGCATTCACGAACATCCCTGCATGAGGGGTCCTTGATGCTCTCTGAGCTTTTTTTTCTT